ACTTATCTGGCTAGTATGGCTGAGCTAGGAACTCTGAGTACGAGCGTGTTAACCAGCACTAAGGAAGCGCAAAATAGCGTCCAAGCTTGTTCGAATGCATGCTCGTTAAAACAAAACTTAAAACAACCTAAGCATCCGGAGGCGAGCTAGAGGTTTATTTAGTTAATTTAATTTAATGTATTTATTTTAGCCCTAGTTGTATTTTGGTTCCAGGAAGGTGCACTAAATATATATCTTCAGGAGCTCAATATTTTGACAGAGCGATACTCATGGCATTCACTGCATTGGTTTAACATTTACAAATCCATTCAGTTGCTGTCAACATAAACTCCAAATGAGGTGAAATAAAATATAATGAGGATATGATACAGGGAATACAAGAGTCACACTTGATTCAACAAATTTCTTGAAATTTAGTTCAGGTCGGAATATCAGTAAATGCGGCTAAAAATATATTAAAAGGTGTAGATATCCAAACACAGTTAGGATTTGATGGTAGGCTTGGAGGAATAAAATGTAGTTTGACCCGATCTCAACACCCCACATACTGACATAACCAACAGACAAGTGATAAGAACAATCGACACATGTGTGCATGCAAATCTCAATCTACAATTCAGACACTCATCAAAGATAGTAGATCACATATGGATATCATCTTTGTTCAACAATTTGACAACGCAAAATCAGAAGAAGACTTGAGTGAACAATATTGTTTTCACTGAGATTTCATCAGGCTTTTCGTTAATATACATAAATTTTCTCATATTATAAATATTAAACCAATTGTAGTGGATATATTATCTATTATGACGAGGATATGAAACACGCAAGTAGTAGATATCGAAATAATAATAATAACAATAGTAATAATAATAATAATAATAATAATAATAATAATAATAATAATAGCAATAGTAATAACTTTATTCCAAACAAGAAGTATGGTACAGTATGAAATTCTCAGCATATAATAGTTAAACAAATTCATTCTCTGTACAATATATCCAGGCGAAATAATCATTACATAATCATTAAATAATGTAAACAATGACAATGTGAAACAGGCACCTGGTGTTACATTAGCGTCTGGTTTTGATTGGTGAATGAGAAGAACATCGAGTGTAATTTTGGTGATTGTAGTTTAATTAGCCAGCACCGAAATCTGCAATTCGACATGATTATCCAAGGAGTAGTAATGTGGGCATTTACAAACCCATCTCTTACCAGTGTGTCGCTTATTCCTTGTGTTCTTGTTAGCTTGAAAAATGGCAGTCTGAAACTATTTTAAGTGTTCAGGAGTACTTGATGCATTCGAAAGGCATTCGTAAGATTAAAATAAGTCAAATGGACAGAATGTGATGAAATAAGTTCTGTGGGACTTTTTTGGTAGCCCAGAACTTAAGCATACCACCTGTCAGGTAGTAAGAATAATGGGAACAGCATGTATTTGCGGACATCTAGATGGTCAATGTTGGTCGAAAATTTGAAAGAAGTTGCGCAGTACTAAGGGATGAAGTGTGTAGATGATCAAAGTCAAGGCGAATAAACATGTATGAAACGGATGAAGAACGAGAAGAGGATGAAAAATGACTTTATCCTTGAAGTCATTTATAAAGTTTTCTCTGACCAAGGCAGAGATAAAGGTTGAAATTGTTTTTTTTCCTGTACACAAATACTACAGCTGGTTTCTCTAATTCTCATAGCCTCAGCTATATGTAATATGCGAGTGCGAATTATATTCAAAAGGTTTTGTGGAATACGATAGATGATTTTGAACACTTCAATCTATTACGTGACAGCTGTCTGCGAAATACTACAGAACTGAACTTCTTTTTGACTTCATGTGTCTCTTTTCTAGGTATGACGGTAGATGCTGAGTAAGATGTTTGTTAAACCGCTTAGTTTCACGCCCTGTATAGCTTCCTCTACGGGAGCAGATGGGTTGATAGATGTACATAGAAGTGGTAGAACTGGGCAGCTTATCTTAACACTGAGCAACAATTATCGACCAACTCGAAAATAATGAGCTAAGGTTAGCAGCATAGAAAATCCTTCTGATCGTTGCAGATAGCCTCTGAAGTCGAACTTCACCAGGTGTTTCTCTTTTAAATTGGAGCCTCGTGCACAATAATATTTTTGCAGCGCTTATTTGTTCATATTTCTTACTCATTTTGTTCATGTCTCTTGATAAAACTATGGGGGTAACCCATTTCTAGCAGCATATTATGAATATGTTTTAACTGCTTCCATTCCTACTTGCAAGACATTTAACTGAGCTCCTTTTATGCCGAACAGGGGCAAGACTAAGGAAATCTTTGAACTAATCCATAGATGTAATCGTTCTGTGTACCCTACTGCTAAATAATCCATCATTTCTTCTAAACAAAAGGAAATCTAAGAGATGTAGTGCATCTTCTGGAACGCAAATTTATTCCTGCAGAAGAACACATAAAGTTATCATGCAAAAGCTTGGATATTGTAAATTGTAACTTTGATAAAGCTACCTGCCCTGGTGATGCTTATCGTACTACCAAGGTTGTCTTCATATCTTACCATTCTTCATCTTATTATCTTTCCTAATGTTGAAGCTATTAGCACTAAATATCGAAACGCCGGTTAAAACAAATTTATTTTGTTTCACACTCACTGGGAAATACAAATATCAAAATCATGAATATATTCAGATGCTTTCGGTTTAGACCAATATCCTTCCTGTACAAAATAAAATAAAATCTACACTGTAAGGTCATTTGAATATCACTAAAATATCTTTGTGGAGATAATAGAAATTTATTTTATCAATAAGACATCTTTTAGATTTTTTCCTACAATTAGTGTAAAATCTGAAGGGATGAATATATTAACGATTAGACAATGATTTCATTTCAAACGGTTTTCAGAACTTCTAGACAAACTTATTTAACCCCACTTCGTTATTTATTTTGTCGAGAAGTTGGGTTTAAACTTTCTCAATGAAGACCACTTATGTGCATATTCCACAGATATGTAAACAAAGTTTTCCGAAGTAATATTTCATGTTTCTGCAGAAAGATACAGCATAGATATACAAATGAAAGTGTATTAATAAGTGCTGCCACACTTCACAATGGTCAAAAGAGGTTAAATCAAATTAAAACAGACGGATATGAAAGAACAGGGAACAAATAGTTATCGAGCCATAGAAGATTCGGTTACTAAATAGTAAAGGAGTTTGCATCATTCTGACCGTCCTGTAGTCAACTAGTGTAGCTCTGAAAGTGAGTGAAATGGTTAGTACACACAACCACTTAATTGCTAAAATTCTAAATGATGTTATGCGAAAATTACCCTTTTATTAACACCTTACATATGTCACATTTGTAAAGCACCTCAGGTATTGTAGTGATTTCGATCAGGGCTTACAGAAGTACATCGTTCTAGTACTTAACCAGATATTTCCCCGGTAAGAAATAAATCTCTTGAAGGCAATCGGTAAACAATCACATGCATGAATAATTCTATAGTAATGCATTTAAAAATGAAAAAAAAACAGTTGGTGACAAATGAGATTAAAAACTGATTTCTTAATTTCATAAGTTTATATAAAGTTAACTTGCTGCTTAAGTAATAAATAGTATGACAGTGAAATGTATGTAAAAATATTCATACATACACATCAAGTTCAAGAATCCGAGAAATGAAAGGCATGCCTTTGTCGTAGGTTAAAATGTATGACTTGTTTGGAAGCTCTGATGTCATTGAAAGGAATTTCAAGCTTTGTGACAACGGCAGGACCTATGAATAGAAGTTCTGTCGAATTATGATTAAAACTAAAAAAGGTATAGGGAAACAGCATGTGTTATTCCCCACTTTCATCAAATTTTTTTGTACTATTGAGATTCAAACGTATTGACTGCAGTAACTTCAAGCCGGCTAGTTACAAGAATAGCAGCTCATACCTAAACCTTTTTTTAGTTACTCACTATTTTCAGTAAAATCTGTCACTCAAGTGTTATCCTTTTATTGACACGTACTGGCTTCTAATACATAGTCCAGACCACCTCATGCACAGTCCGTGACAGAACAAAATACATAACATCCATCGTAAAGCGTCCCTGGGCAGTTGAGATATGTCTCAACCCTAATCATTCCAGTCCCTGTGATGAAGCGTAAAGTAAGAAAACATGAAGTTGACAAAATATCTCACTGTGGGAATAATGGGAGCCTTACGATTTCTGATGAATTCACTCACGAATAACTAACAAGAAACCCATGTTGTTTACCACTTTTGATGTAATCTTTATTGTTATTTCCTGTTTTCGTTGAAAGCTATTTTCCAATGGAATTCTTACTTATAGTAATAATGGAATTATTATTGTTCTAGTTTCAACACTGTTTCTGGAAAAGTGATTGGTCTAGAAGAGGCAAAGAACTCATCGTTCTCCTTTTTGTGCTTCTAGACTTCCTTAGTTCGCATATCAATAACGTATCTGTCACGAGTTGTCCAAAGCAATTTTCTGGCTTATATACTTTTAATGAACGACAATGGCACAGGATTTCTCAGCTTATTTTGAATTGACAACATAACAATCGAACTGTTTATATAGTTACTTCTTGCTTGAAGTTGCAGGAAAGTGAGATAACAGTTCGATATTTGTGCAGCATAATTTTTTACGATGAATTCATGTTTATTTAACTTTTAAAGTGGTGATTTATAATTAGACTCAGTGATTTAAATAAGCATTTTTTATAACTGTGTTGTTGATTGTATTACTTCATAACTGAGTGGATCGAATTGGTCAGTCTTTATTGCCATATTTGTTTCTGCGCTCCAGAAAGTATAACACGTCCTGAATTCTCCTGCTAGCTATTATCCATCAGATATAAAATTTCGAATAACTGTAGGCAGATTTCTGGAGTTTCCTTTCAGTAACTTACTTGCAAATAATTGTTACCATTCAATAGCACTAAATAGTAATTAATAAATTTCATTTTACAATATCTTTTGTGTATAACAGAATGAATATATTATGCGTAAGTTATCTGTGTTTACAGCCTAACATTTTTCTCCTTAAGAAATCGCCTAATTCATTTTATTTTGCTAACAGTCTTTTCATTTTGTAGTTTTTTAACCATCAATTAAAATAATAGTATCAAACTTTTAATTCTATAATATAATTCACTGTTTTTAAAAAAATATAATGAATAAATAAATAAGTAATAAATTACTGTCTGGCTACAGTCAATCACTCAGGCTTACACACCACTATCACGTGGTGTGATTTTTCCACTACAGAAAAATATTGTAGCACTTATCGATGTAAATTAAAGTTATTGATTTCAACAAAATGTCATGGTAACGGAAAGAATGAATTAGTTCATAGTGTGTAGGATATAGATAGATCAATAATGTTAATGGAATTATATCACAGTTAATATTATTTTGAATAAGTGTTGGTAGATAGAAATCCAGCCTAATCTTTAAGAAATTCTATTTCAAGTATGCTAACATGTTTCCGAAGAAGAATCTATTTACAGAAAACTTGTCACAACTCAAAACGTTTTTGTAATATTGTCTAGTTTTAAAGCACATCTTTTCATATTTATCATAGGCAGGGTGAACGTCATCAGCTTGGTATAGAAAAAAATATCCAGAAAGTAATTTAGATTTCAGTACATGATATTTCTTGTTGGTTTTATATTTCATAAGTTCATGCAATTGCAGTATGTTATTATGCAGCACCCAGTGTTGTGCTTTAGGCTAGTTAACCCCATAAGGCACTGGCAATCAAAACCTAAAGTTACGCATTCTAGAAGTCTCCATTTAACCATTTTAAGCTGCTAAACTATTAAGGTGTAATTCATAAGTACATTTTTGTTCTACGCTCAGTTTACAATACCATTAGCGGACCAAAATGTACATTTTTTTTCAGTTATACAGCACAAACAAAAAATATAGAGTTATGTTCTATTGTTGATTCTACGTGCTAAACAGTCATTCTACAATAAACATTTTATCAGCACAGATTTCATGTACAGGATATACCTTGATCCTTTTTAATCAGCTTTCCAGTTCATGCATGATATAGTTGTCAAAACTTTTCGCATAATTTATTATAAATTAAGTTTACAATAAAAAACCTACGAATATTATTATTAATATCTGTCCCTTGAGTTCCTGGTGGAACATAGAACTTCAGTAGCACGTCCCCATTGCACTCTGTTCTCTGAAGTCTTTTGAGCCTGGCTCTAACACTGCCCAGAATCTCTCGTTTCTTCCTCACACCACCTCCTTCATGTCACCCTCGCCTCGGACGCCCAGCTCGTCGTTTCCCCTTCGGGTTCCACTCGAGGGCCTGGCCTAGCGCATGATGTCCCCAAACCGTCTCCTCAGTTTATTCCCAATCCAATTCATCTCCACTTTCTTCCAAATATTTGTTGGGCGATGGGTTCTTGGTTAGTTCTTTGCCAGCCAGAGTTTTTCGTTGCTTATTCTTTCTGGTCATCTGATCTTCAGTAACGAGTGAGCGTGGGCGGCAGCTGATGATGAATGTCAGTAGTTTGTTGGAAATGCTTTTCGTAACGCGCAAAGTCTCTGCACCATATAGAAGCACTGACTTGACTGAATTAGTGCTGAAAATCCCGATCTTGTTCTTTATGCTGAGTGCAGTAGATCTCCACACTGATTTCTGGTTAATGTCTTGCTGCCCTTCCGATCCTGGCATTGACATTCTCATTGTGCCGCCGCCTGTGGTTGAAACGATGCTGCCTAGGTAGGTGGAAGAGACCACTTCGTTTAGATTTCTCCCGTTGATGGTGATTGATGCTTGTTGTTGATGTCTCCGCTACATTCGCTTGAAGTCCTGTCTTCTCTGCCTCATCTGTCAACTTGTTAGTTTTTGCCAGTAGATCTTCGAGTTTGTGCGACAAGACACTAGACATAAATCAGCATCGGCGAAATCCAAATCTTCTAGGGTCTTTTCATCGGTCAAGTCGGCGGGTGCCCCTCTTCTTGCTCCTCACAGTTTGTTGCATGATCCACTTCAGTCCAGTCGACCACAATGAGCAAGATAATCGGTGATAGTAGGTGGCAGCCTTGTCTCACTCCTGTCTTCACTTCAAAGGCATCACTGAGCTTTCCATTATGAATCACTTGGCATGTTGCATCATATCGCATATAGCTGTTGAATGAGGTTGCTGAAGGTTTGTGACACTAAAACCGTAGTGTTGAAGCAGTTTCCAAATTGCTTCTCGGTCGACGCAGTCGAAAGCCTTCCCAAAGTCGAAGAATTTGAGGTAGAGAGTTGACTGCCATTCTATGTTCTGTTCTATGATGACGCTCAGCGTAGTGTTACAATTTGATCCGCACATGATTTGTTCTTCCTGATTCCAGCCATCCAGCCTGTTCCGGTCGTAATTTTGAATCTGAAGCATGATTTAGTCTCTCCAGGATGATGGGGCTTAATATTTTGCTTAGGGCGGACAGGAGGATGATCCTGCACCAGTTCTTGTAAAGACTTAGGTCTCCCTTCTTTGGAAGTTTGACAAGGTAGCCCTTCTTCCAATCTGCAGGTATCTTTCCTTCCTTCCACACTTTATGCAGTAGTGGTGTGAGGATGTCCGCTGTAGTCTCTGAATCAGCTTTCAGTGCTTCTGACGGAATTCTCTGTGGTGCCGCTGATTTCCCGGATTTCAGTAATTTTATGGCGTTCAGGACTTCACTTCTGCTTTTGTCGGAGGTCTTGTGTTCCTTGATAGTTGTGTGACTGGGTTGCTGGTGATATTTCTGGACGAGTTACAAGTGGTGGTCGGTCCAATAGTTTTTTGAAGTGGTCAGCTCATCGTTTCCTTTGTTTCTCCCCTTTGGTAACTAAGTTCCCTTCACTATCTTTCATTGGTTTCATCTGTGTTGATCTCTTCCTGGTTACTTGATACACTGTTGTCAGGTCTCTTCTGCCTGCAGCCTGTTCTGCCTTACTTGCAAGTGTGTCGTAGAAGTGTCTTTTGTCTTTGCGCGCACTCTTCTTCTTTACTTTGTCCAGTGTTTTACATGTTTGTATTCAGTTCATCTTTTCGTTGTTCATCTCTGCACTGCACTGGTCCATCTTCTGCTTCACCATCTTCCTCTTCCTCCTCTATCAGCTTCCATGTGTCCGTGGAGATCCATTCCTTGTTTTGCTTCTTCTTCCTTCCCAACACGATTATGGAGGTTTACTTCCACGTCTCTTTCACAGAGTTTCAGTGTTCTTCTATGCCGGTTTCTTCAGGGATGCTGCTTAATGTCTCCCATTTTGTCCTGATGGCTGACGTGAAGATGTCCTTTATTGTAGTTTCGTCCTTCAGTTTCTGTTCTGGATGTCGAACTTGAACTATGGTCTATCATCACCAGCTTCTTTGAAGGCTTTCAGCTTGACTTTGAAAGTTCCTTGCAATAGATAGTGGTCTGAACTTACCTACATTTGCTCCTCTTCTTGATCTTGTGTCCAGTAGGCTGACTGCGTCTCCACTTTCTTCAGATTGAGATGAAGTTGATCTTATTTTTAGTGTGTCCATCTGATGAAATCCATGTCCTTTTGTGAGTGTCCTTGTGCTTGTACACACTGCTTGCAGTCACCAAGTCGTTGAATGCATAGAAGTCTGCAAACAGTTCACCATTCTCATTCACTTAAGTGAGTGCTTCTCGACGCATGATTGGTTCTCATCCTGTGTTGTCCTCTCCCAGTTTGTCATTAAAACATGTCACCCATTACAACTTTGATGTCGCTGTCTGGGCTGGGGTCCTATCTAGTACTGATTGTAGTTGTCTGTAGAATTCCTCCTTCTTCTCTTCATATGCATTATTTGTTGGTGAGTAGCATTGAATGATTGTAACTTCCTTTCCTTTTTGATTTGAATCTTGCAGTCATGATTCTGGAGGAGACTGGTTTCCACTGCATGAGAGCCTTTGATGCTCTGGGGGACATCATGACAACCACTCTCTCCGTGTGCTCGTGGTTGTCATCTGGGTGACAATATCGGAGTAGATTATTGACTTTCCAGGCGACAGTTTGAGAATCCACTTCCATTCCATCTGCTTTTGCAGAGTCCTAGCACTTCAATTCTATACCTTCTCATCTCATTTGCAATCTGGGTAGCCTTTCTAGGTTCAAACATAGTGCAGACATTCCATGTCCCTATGTCTACTTTCGCTTTCATCAAGAGAAGACACATCGGCCAATTAGTTTCCGGAAGGCTTTCACCAACCGGCGTCATTTCGCTTCTCCGATTCCAGCGAGGAATGAGTTAATTTTTATCTTTTATATTTTCTTCATGCTTTGAAGTTTGTTTAGCGATTGGTTTGGTTTTCCGGGGTAGGGTTGTTAGTCCTATGCCCAACTTTCCTTCTTCCGGGCTTAGGTCCGGCTAGTAACTAGTGGACCAGTTAACTGGGCGAGGTTCACAAATTTTATTTCTCATTGTTGATATTAAAAGTAGTGCAGAAATCCTTGTAATCAAGCTTGAAACAAAATAAATAAAACAAATACTACTTTCGACAACGTTATTAGAATACGAAGATTGTCTGAAAAATGTGAGATGTATTTGCGCAATACATTTCGAACATTATGATCCCCAACACAGTCACTTGTCAAGTCAATTTATATTTGAAAATGAAAGGAAAATTGAAAGGCCAAATATAATGAATATGAAAAGGTTGGTTTGATAATATAATCATATAAGGATTACCAAAGTCAATTAAGTGAGACAATAAATTTTTTGTACACACAATGGGGGCTTAAGTTTGCGAATGGATCTATCGGACGATCAGTCTATAGAAAGCCTACTTGAATAGGTCAGTACTTGAGTTTCTACAGCTTCTGTCCGATGAAATTTAAGAGAGATTTGTAAGATGCTTATTCAATAGAACTCAATGTATTTCTACATCTGATACGATGGATGATGAGATGAAATTTGTGAGACATACTAATGGAAAACAGGCACCCAATATAGTTTATGAACCAATGTTAAAAACATCTGTCTCCGAAGCCTAAAATTTT